CAATGAATGTTCACAGACCCAAGGCTATGTGGACACTGCCAACTTGGATGGTGAGAGCAATCTGAAGCTGAAGGAATCCGTGAAGTGCACCCAGCATCAGCTGCGTTATGCCACCACGGATCAGCCATTGCTGGATCAGGCGGTGGCGAACTTGACTTCCCTCAGAGGTCAGGTGGTGGCGGAGCCCCCGCAGAAATCCATCCACAGCTTTAAGGGTCGGATAGAAATGGATCAACGGCAAGAGCCCTTGGATGCCAAGCATCTGCTGCTCAGGGGCACGGTCTTGAAAAACACCTCCTGGATCCTGGGACTTGTGGTCTACACCGGGCCTGAGACGCGAATGGTCATGAATTCCAGGGCGGCCAAAGCGAAGTATCCCAACATTGAGAAGGTTATCAATCGATCAATGCTGGTGGTCGTGGGTGCTCAGTGTGTGATGGCCCTCATTAGTGACATCTTATACCTGGTCACCAAGCGACGTTTCCATGGCCTGTGGTATCTCTTCCCTTCGGGACAGTTTCAATCAATCCTTTTGCCGGAGTTCATTGGCTACTGGCTCACCTTCTTCGTGCTGCTTGTCCTCAAGACTTCAGGGTGCTGGTTCCGGGGTTCTGCAGCAGTTTGAAATGGTCAAGGTAAAAAAAAAGGGATCCACTGCTAATTTTGCATTCACAAACCTTGGGTAATATACTCCAGAGATGCTACGTGTGATGGCCACACATTGTGATGCCACTGTTTAACCATGTTTAACCCAATTTTCATACTACTTGAGCCTCCCAGGTTGTACTCCAATTTGATGCCCATCTCCCTTTACTTCACCATGGAGGCAGGGTAGCCCAACGATGACTGGCATGCTGGCTGTGTTTGATACAGACCTTTTTCCTGCCAGGTCTGTAATGCTGCCCAGGCCACGGATGGAATTTGATACTTGGTAGATGGATATACTAGGTGGATGTGGGATCTGAACCATTTCAAAACACAGTTGTTGATTTTCATGGGGTTATCTGCCAGGCCTACTTCATTAAGAACGACCTGAAGATGTACGACGAGGCACAAGACACTCCAGCCAACGCTCGGACGACGTGCCTGGGCATGCCTTGTCATGTTTCGTCCAAACATGGTGAATAGCCATACCGCAAGTTATGGTCATTTTAGATCATTTAAGATCATTTAAGATCATTTAAGATCATTATCATTTAAGTACCTTTTAATTTGGAAAGTGATGATAAAAAGATTTCAAGAGGCCGAGAAATTTGATGTCATTGAACTGGGCAAGCTGAGGAACTTGTGTCATGAACTTGGCCAAGTTGCCTACGTCTTCTCAGACAAGACTGGGACGTGTGCTGTGCCCGTGTTGAGCCTTGGCCATCCGCGGCCATCCATGGCCATCGCCATCCTTGGCCCCTGGTTGCGCGTCAGGTTGACACAGAACGTGATGGAGCTGAAACAGCTTTCGATTGCAGGCTGGGGCCCCTGGGGCATGGCCACAGCCATCTGTTTCCTCCACGAAAATTAATTTACAATGAAACATATTTATTAGGCATATAATGATATATGTATAAACATTTAACATATTTAAACTACATATATAGTCTATGTACGACTATAACATATATACACATATATGTATATATAGACTATGTGTAAAGTAGGCATTTTGGACTCGCCCATCGGGTTGCAGCAAACTGCTTCATTTGTCGCTGTACTTTTCCCCGCATCTGGGAGAAGCGCTAGGTGTGATCTATGGCCAGACCGGAGAGGACGCTCAGTGTATTCGCTGTGGTTACGCACAATTGCTGTGCCAAGTTTTGCAGGAGAGTGGATTTCAAGGTAAAGCAGCTCTTTTCCAAGCCAGGTCAGTTTTGCACAGTAGTGCTGCTACTTTTTTGTCCTTTTCCACGGGAAATTGGCAAATGTGGCAGGTTTGATCCGCAGAAAGCAGCTGCCATTGATGCTGTCATGGAGGTCCCTTCCTTTTTGTTAGCTTTCCTCAAGGTATTTTTGGGGTTCAGTGGGTTGGAATCTTCCTGTATTTTTTGGGATTACAACCGCAACATCCCACTGAAGTATTCTCCACTTCATCCAGCGTCCCAGTTGGCATGGCCCGTGGCAGGTGCTCAGTGTTTCCCACACTGTGGTCTCCAGTAAGGATCGAAGCGGAAAGTTGAAGTACGAGGCCATGCGCCAGCCATGCCAAATCATCACGTCGAAACATTTCGCGATTGCGAAACATCATTTAGAAAAAGAATGTATATCTATCCATCTATCCATCTATCCATCTATCCATCTATCCATCTATCTATCTATCTATCCATCCATCTATCCATCTATCCATCTATCCATCTATCCATCTATCTATCTATCTATCTGTCTGTCTGTCTGTCTATTTATCTATCCAATCTAATCTCATCTGTTCTAATTCTAATGCCAATTCCAATTCTAATTCAATTCGTTCCAACTCAATTCAACCTCTTCTATTCCCATGTCATCTCATCTTTTCTTATCTCATCTTATCTATCCATTCAGTATCCATCTCGTATTCATCTAGTATCCATGTATCTATCCATCTATCCATCTACCCATCTCGCTATCTATATCTATGTCTGTTTGTCCCCTCTCTCTATATACATATGCATATTATCTTTGACAATTCTGGATGGATTGATGGATGGTTGGCTGGTTGACTGGTTGCATGGATGGATGATTTATGGGGAATATACCTAAGCTGCAAGTATAGTTCATCCATCCTATTATATTCTCCATTAACATCCATTGACTATGTGTCCATCCATGAATATTCCATCATGAATTAACACCTATAGTTATAGTTCATATCAATTATTATATCACTGTAATTAATGGATAGACTATGGGTGCTATGATATATGATCACTATGATTCATTATAATTCGCTATATTATCACTAACACATCTAACACTAATTTGATATCATACGTATAGTATATTTAATGTCACCACATTAGTATGATATCATAGCACCATACTAACACGATATTGTGACTAACACTAATTAATATCACCAGAAATTCACTATAATTACCATTTATATCACCATTTATAGTATATGTAGTCTCTATAAATACTAGAGCTGCCAGGCCGAAAGCCCGGACGAAGGCGCCCTCGTGGAAGCCGTGGCGCAGCTGGGCTGGAGCTTCACGGGCCGCAGCAACGAAGGCCTCACGGTGGAGGCGCGCCGTGGCCGGTTTTCCCGTGGAAATTTTCGGGTGGAATCGATGTGGAAAAGCTGTGGGAAAGCTGTGGGAAACATGATGGTTTTATATAAATATATTGAAATAGACATAGCTTTGTATAAAACATATCTAATATATCCCTTTCATAAAACATGATGGTTTTTTATATATAAACATGATGGATATATGGAGGTTTGGTGAAATTGAAGGATCCAACAGCTTCCGTTCTGAATGGTTTGTGGTATTTCGATTGTACAATTCTTTTAACGGATATGTTTGGTTCGTTGAACCAACAACCCCAGGCATTTTTGGGTGATACAGAACCATACCCACTGGCCTGACAATGGCAGGTGACCTCAAATGCGAAGATTGGAAGCCGAACCTACGAACTTCTGGAGCCTGGGATTGCAGCCAACTGGGGTGATTTGACAATTCTTTGATCAATGTTTGAATAGTTGATGATCACTGCATATATGACCAATTCATGATCACTGGTCAGTTGATGGTCACTTCATATATACTGTACATCACTGTCCAAAAGCTATGGCAACCCTCATTTGCATCGCTGCGATGCAGGCCCTCAACGCCTTCACTTCTGCAAGGCGAGGGAAGCGAAACGATGGTTTTTTCCAGTAGGTCGGGGGAAACATCCCAAGAGCACTCTGAGTGGTTGATCATCATCCATATGTGATGGTATTAAACTTGGATATGGTTGTGGTTGACGATCTTTGATGATACTTTCATATACTTTCATTAATTATTAAATGATTATAGGTAATTAATGTTAATTTTCATTATTAAATGTTTGTTTTGTTAATCAATGTTAATTAATGATTCTGGCTGACCCATTATGGGATGATCATCAGTGAATAATGAGATAATCGTCATTGACATGTCCATTTCAACTAATATTGATGATTGTCAATTAGTGTCCCAATTATCCTAACTATCTCATTATAAATACATAAATAAATAAATAAATACATAAATAAATATAAATACATATATATATATATATATATTGCTCAGTGTCCCAATTATCCTAATTCAACTGACAATCCCGTGCAGTGGCAGGAAGCGCCAGTCCGTTCTTGTGCGGAGACCGTCTGGAGAGGCTTAGCTAAGAGTCAGAACCATTCAGAGATATGTTGCAACCCCTCAAAAGATAGGAAAAAGGTAGACATCCTACCAAAAGAATGGTGAATAATTCAACCCTTTCTGCATTTTCGGGAGTTACTATAGACATGATTCTATATCAGGAGATGAACATGACAAAAGTACAATGAGTTGTGTGTAATATGATGTGTGTGCATATATATACACACACCTGTTGTCAAGTATGTCATCATAATAATATTTGATCGTACGATATCAGATATTACAGCTCTCAGGGTCGATGCAGAGATTTGTTGTTTGATTCAACAGATTGGTTGAAGCATGTAGTTGGCTGGCGGCGGATAGAACGCCGCCAGCTTTCGTGCGTTTTTCTGTTTCTCCTCTACTTTTTCTCACGCGGTCTTGCTCTGTCGATGGGGTGGGGTGGGGTGGGTGGGGTGGGGTATTAACGTCATGTGCAGAGTGCGTGGAACACGCTCTTGCCTAACACGCTGTTGATGTTACGCTCTGCACTTCTTCCTAGCAACTTCTAACACGCTCTTGATGTTACGCTCTGCACTTTTTCCTAGCAACTTCTCAGACGCTCTTGATGTTATGCTCTGCACTTTGTCCTAGCAACTTCTCAGACGCTCTGGATGTTACGCTCTGCACTTCTTCCTAGCAACTACTGACACGCTCTGGATGTTACGCTCTGCACTTCTTCCTAGCAACTACTGACACGCTCTTGATGTTACGCTCTGCACTTTTTGCTAGCAACTTCTCACACGCTCTTGATGTTACGCTCTGCACTTCTTCAAGGAACTTCTCAGACGCTCTTGATGTTACGCTCTGCACTTTTTCCTAGCAACTTCTAACACGCTCTGGATGTTACGCTCTGCACTTCTTCAAGGAACTTCTCAGACGCTCTTGATGTTACGCACTGCACTTTTTCCTAGCAACTTCTCAGACGCTATTGATGTTACGCTCTGCACTTTTTCTTAGCAACTTCTCAGACGCTCTTGATGTTACGCTCTGCACTTTTTCCTAGCAACTTCCAACACGCTCTTGATGTTACGCTCTGCGCTTTTTCCTAGCAACTTCTCACACGCTCTGGATGTTGCGCTCAGCACTTTTTCCTAGCAACTACTAACACGCTCTGGCTGTTACGCTCTGCACTTCTTCCTAGCAACTACTAACACGCTCTGGATGTTACGCTCTGCGCTTCTTCAATGAACTTCTCACACGCTCTTGATGTTACGCTCAGCACTTTTTCCTAGCAACTTCTCACACGCTCTTGATGTTACGCTCTGCATTTCTTCAAGGAACTTGTAACACGCTCATGATGTTATGTTCTGTGCTTTTCCAAGTAATTTGAAACACGCTCTTGATGTGATTCTTTTGCCTGACTATGTCCCCGGTTTATTTAAATTCATTTACCACAATTCCATTGATCATTGGAACTCAATGCATTGATCGGCATTGGAGAGGATTGAAGGAATTCATTGGATCAACTGTCCCTCGCAAGCTCAAAGGAAACTTTGGATCCAAGATGCACACAGAAATCGATACTTTGATCAAACAATGGTTGTACAGAATTTGGACACCTTCTTCTAGTCCTAACGAAGTGTATCAAAATTTAACTCACGTCCTGCAAAGCTTGTGATAGAAAAAAATATACACTTACAGATACAACATTGATAAAACAAAGTAGTTTGTCGCAGGATTTGAGAGGGTCCAAAAAATGGACGAAAGCAGAAAACCTTGAGAAAACACAGGGAAAGTGAACTTGCAACGGTTGGAAAAACAGGCGGCGTTCTATCCGCCGCTTACCATGTAGTTTTACTGTAACCATCAAATCTAGATTTTTCTTGTGCTCCCGCGTGCATTTTCCCGTACAAAAAAAACCTCTAGGAATGATGGATTGATGGCCTGTCAGAGACTGGCCAGAATGGTGCAGGTTCTACTCCTTGTCAAAGGTGCAGATGACGTCATGCAGAAGTTGGCGACGGACCCACAGATGTTTCCGGAGGACGCGTCGTTGAAATTCCACATGCAACTCAAATTGTATATTTGGATATTTTGGGGTTCCAGAATCTACTGAAATATCTTTTTAAGCAAATACAAGAGACACATACATGAAACAAAAATGTTTTGAAACTATTGACCCCCCATATTCTAGCATGCTTGAATAATGTCATATATCATATACATATTCAGATTTTGCCGGCGTTTTGTGGGCCCATTGGTACCCCATGTTGGCTCACCATGGCGAGCATGACAGGAGCACCTGCGAAGCTTTGCGAAGCAAGGCTTGAGGACTTTGGTGATGGGAAGGCCGGAAATCACGGGGGTCACCAGTTGGGTGTGTCCAAAAGGTCGAATATAGGCACTGTACCCCAAAAATCATGTATGCAAATTCATCCAAAATCAAGTTGTTTGCAAAGTCATCTTCCAAGTTAAAGCGGCCATGACTTGGGTCTTATACCATATTTCCAATATTTCCAGGGAAAAACACTTTGAAGTTGGGTTGCGACCCTAGCCATTTCAGTGGCCTCTGTCATGAGACGACTTGGGGCGGATCATCTTTGTGAGGCGATTCATTCCGGAACACGAGCTGCAGCAGTGGTTGGCAGACTATTCCAGGGCTCAAACCTCCATGGAGGCGGTGAAGCAATGGGGGACCATTGGAATGGGACATGATGACAGATGATGACAGTACCAGCTGCGAAAGAACCACGCTACAGGACCAGGATATTGAGAAATTCTCATGTAACCGACATGTTCTGGTCACACTTTTCAAAACCTTCACAGTTGCGCCTTCGAGGACAGAGAAGGCGCCCTGGCAAGGGCTGCTGACAAGATTGAGAGGTGTGGGATGCAGGGTCTTGAGCCGTTGAACATGGATGTGTTTAACAGGTTTGTATTTGCCATCTTGATGCAAGTCATTCGATTGGTTTGTCTCCAAAACCGGTAGATGTTTTGAAGGCTTGGACATCGGAGATTTCATCGGGGGTATCCGCGGGTATCCCTGGCCATGCGACAGAAAATCAGGTCGTTGGAGATCCTTGGAATCACCGGCATAGAGGACAAACTGCAGGCAATTCTGCCGATCGACCCAGTGGACCTGTTGTGACGCATTCTGACGCAGTGACGGATTTTTGACAGGTTGGTGTGGAAGATGCCATTGTGAAGATTCGGCAGGCGGGGTATGGTGAAGATGAGATTCTGGATCAGTGTGGCCATGATGGCCATAATTCTTCACCCCACAAAGTTCCTTGGTGTTGTAGAATTGTAGAACAAGGGGTTTGTCCAAAAATAGGGCACCCAAATTTGATGGGAATAGTAATGGTATGGAATAGTAATCATCATTTTGCCAAACAATCATATAATTACATCTGAACGTTAAACTGCACTTTTAATGGTTGTTTAATATGTTTTTCATTGTTTTTCCCCATTTTCAGACCTAAATGTCCCAGAAAAAAATGGAAAAATGGGGGTTTCAGGGCGTATGTGTTTGTATGTTGCTTGTTATGATTTTGTGTTGGGGTTCAATGTTTCATCTTCGCCTTTGATGTTTTTTCAGGTGGGGTTTTGGGGGTAATTTTGTTGCTAAAGTGATGTGTCAATGTTTGGTTCAGATGAGGGTAGGATTTGTTTAGGCTGTTGGGGTTTGTGTTTTGGTTCAGATGAGGGAGATACTGTGGATAGTGTACTTGTGGTTGTCGTTTTTTATTGTCAAGGTATGTCTTGTCTTTTTTTGGGTATGATTTTATTGTGTTTCCTTATCATCAGTTTCAAGACAGAACATTCAACTTGATATCTTTCAAAAGGTTCCATGTCTTTCAACATCTTTCATTTTTTATTCTCTCATTCTCGTCTTTTTTGGTGGCGTTTTTTCTTGGTTGTGTTTTGATTTGAACGTCTTTCGCTTCGCCTCATTTTTTGCGGACTTCTTCATGGACTTTCTGGATTTCGTCGGGGGCGCCCAGATGAGATGTGCGCGCTGTTTCGTTTGCATGGAAGCATCACTTTTGAGGACATATTGCGTTTCTTGAGGCACTATGTACACTCTATGTACACATTGTGGCATTACACTACACCCAGAGATGTTGATTGCTTTCTCCCGCAGCAGACAGGCTCACAAATGCTCACAAGATAAGATGAGTTCTACTTGCGGCATGTGTTGCACTATGAACAAGTCAACGCATCAAGAAATCGTAAAGTGCTTGAGCTCCAGCACAGTCCCAGTTCTGGAGATTTCCGCCATGGGTATGTCGCGTTGCCTCATTGCCCGATGTTGTGGTTTTCGGCTTCTCATGTCAGGCCGACCACGAAACAGCAGATTGGAAAGTGGTTGGTTGGTGGTGGTGGCTCGTTGGCCATCGTGACCTTTGGATGGGATATGTGGCGGCATCGTCAAGAACAAGAACGGCATCGTCAAGAACAAGAACGGCATCGTCAAGAACAAGAACGGCATCGTCAAGAACAAGAGCGAGTGAAGAATATCATTGTGAATGCCTCTTTCAAAGCACGCGAGCCACGTGTCAAGATTGAACGGAAGATAATCAAGGCGTCCAAGCACCACCTTTTTTTTTTGTTGTGTTTGTCCCTACGTTTCTTGACAGAAGGGATTTGTTCTTGAGATAGGTGTTATTTCATGTCATACTGACATTTTGAATTTGATGCACTATGCTCACTATGCACTGTGGCAGGACGAAATGCACCAGTTGTTGGACTTGGACGACCCCCGCCCAATCCTCATCTGGGGGAACCATGAAGTTGGCAAGAGCACCATCCTTTGGGAAGTGTTGCAGGAGAAACAGTGGAACAATGGAGTGCTCCACATCAAGCTCACGCAGAACAATCACTTGGCCACGGAAAAGGTGATGAGCGCGTTGGCAGTGCTCCATGAAGAGGAGGTGGTGCGTGGTTTGAGAGGTGCCAAGACAAGAATGGGACGAAAACCCATCATCATCCTTGAAGTTCCTCGTGGTGTCTTCGAGCCATCTGTGATGAGCAGCGTCTCCGCCTTTGCGAAGTCATGGGGCTTTGATGACGAGGTTGCCAAAGTGCTGGTGATGGTCAGTTCTGCAGTGTCAGCCATGGCTTTTGACGCAGACGGTCGTGAGCGCCGATTCTTCGTTCCACCACTGACGAGTGAAGAGCTCTCGCAGAAGGAGGCCATAATGAAGAGCTTCAGTTCATGTGGTAATTGTTCAGTCACCTTCAATCACTTTAGTGCTTTTTGTTGGTGCTACTTCTGGCATGGGTTGGGATGTTTGCAGATGGACGTCTCCTTGTCAGGTTGAGGAATTCCTACATCATCATGGCGGTGAAGAGGCCTCCAAGCACAAGAGCGATATGATTCAACTCACAGGTGGCAACATCGGTGTAATGGAGGACAAGGGTCATGAAACCATGGGACAACAACCCGAAACATCAACGAACGTTGAAACCTTGAAACTTGCCCACATCTCCTGCAGGACGTGGCGCAAAAGGCCAAAGAGACATCATGGGAAGAAGCAAAGTCCAAACGGCTTGTGGTGCAAGAATATCAGGTCGAGAAGTTCTTGGGCATTGACAACCAAGGTGGCTTTGGCCCCAAAGAGGCGAGGATGGCACGCACCTTGGCCAAGGCCGTGGCGCATAGCTCCTTCGAGCAGTGTGTCGATGCCAAGCGGTTCATGAAGCACTTCACGCCTGCGCACATGGCCGCAGCGGTGCGGCAACAAGGAGCTCATTGCATCTATGTGGATGCGCGGGCAGAGAGGCAACGCTACTGCGCAGTGTCCCGCACAGTGCATGACCTTTTGAAGGCGGAAGTGGCAGTGGCGTGTGAATGAGAGTGCTTTGTTCCTTGTAGGACCAGTAGGACTTTTGGATTGCAGGTCGGGTGCAATCCGTTATGCACTGAAGGTGCCATTCGTGATTCATGGATGGTGCAATCCGCATTGCGTCCAACCAGACTGGCAAAACACAGAAAGGTGATGATTTTTATTGGGGTTGCACCTACCCTTCAATCCGGGATGCATTCTATCTGCGCTGCACAATGCACCGGTGGGACAGACTGCACAGTGTTCCAAGACTGGATGAGCAAAAGTGAAATGAAATGGCAGAGATTGAAGATTGGTTTGTTTCGCAGTTGTTGGATTGGCACTCTCAAATGTAGCATTCTTCAGGCCCAGAAGTTTGGTGATGATATCAACCACTTTTCACTGCTTTACTGTATCCAATTGCATCCAATTGCCCTCTTCCACTTGCCGAATGCGTCCGCGCCAAGGTTGTGAAGACATCAGGGACACCATCTATTAGAAGGTCAATCCCAGCATTTGTCATAATGCAAGATTTTGGAAACGGGTTCTATCAAAGCCTTGAAGCAGCGAACTATTCAAACAGCCTTCAAAACCTGATTGTTTCGGTGAAAATCCAAACAAAGATTTGCTGGAATGACATTTCCAAGCAGTCTCCAAAACTTGACGTTGGTGATGATTAATTTAGCAATCTTTTGGGGGAGCATTCTGTCCATACCCCTTGAGCATGTATTGGTTCATATGCACCACACACCCGCGCAAACCCACAGACCCTTTAATCCTCCCGATTTGTTCATCTTGTTTCTTCAGGGAAATCAAGTTTCGTCGGAGTGGTCTGGAGCATCCAACGGGTTGGGACGGTGTGGCAGGGTTAATGTTTATTATGTGTATATATATATATAGGCATATGTGATGAAATAGTTCAAGTTGTTTTTCGTGGAAACGAAGAGAGACAAACCATCCGCCCTGCGGGAGTTGATGGCAGATGAGCATGTTTTTTGGGTAATGAGGCTTCGCCATACTGCTAACTTCAACTGAAGGCAATGCAGTTGCAGTTTCCCAACAAGCTGCAACAACGACAATGGCATTCTAACAACTTTGACAGCGGCAGGAACAGTATTCAACAAGTGTCCTAAACTGGTCTTTTCGAATTTCTTTTCACATCATTTTGGGACACCTCATTTGCGAACACAGAACACCCCAAAGATACTTAAAGACAAGTCGCCTTATGTAATTAAGATTTGATATGCCCTGCTATTTAGTAATTGATGGTAAGAAACAAGAAATGGATGAGGACATCTTTGACCAACTTGTTGAAGCACTCAATCCAGAAACAGTCCAAGAACCCCCAATCCAAACCTCTACAAGATGGAAACCCGATGGAACTTATGACAGCAAACCATTAGACCCCGAATACTTCTCAAAATACTATCAAAAGAAACTCTCAACACCCTTCAAGTGTCCCGACTGCGGACGCACCATTTCGTCCAAATCCAATTTATCCAAACACCGTCAAACCAACGTTTGTATGAGAAACAGATGCCAATGTTGAAAGGTGCTTTAAGACACCTTACGGCACGTTTCGTTCAAAGGGTTTTCCAATCCAAAATTTTCTCAATAACAAACATTTTTATTGAGAAGGTTTTTATGTTGAAGTCCAACCCCAATCCCAGAAATTCCAACAGGCAACCAATACCCAAAACTACTTAAAGAAATGCCACCTTATAGGGTAAGGAGTAAATGGCAGAGGATACAAGGTTGAAACATTCAACAGAGAGATTTTATGTTAAAAATCAATCAGGCAACCAATCCAATCAACCGCAACATCCTCAACAAACAATGGAAACTGAAAAACTACTTAAAGAAACATCCACTAATAATAATATAGAATATACTATAATGGACGCTTCACAGCAGATTGTTTTAGATTACCTTTTATCATCCGAACAGGGTGAGATATTGAAACGGAATGGACAGGAACTCAAGAAACTCAAGATTGGAGACAAGACCTACAACTTTGAAAGGGGAAAACCCATTTCAAAGAGGTTGATTACCAAGTTCAACAAGATTAAGCAGACTATGGACTACAAAAAGTATTAACTGAAAGAGAAGAGAGGCATTAGATGGGTCAATCTTGACAAGAACAAAGCACTCACAGGCATCCAAATGAGATACAAAGCAACCACCACCAACGAACAATCTGCTTTCAAGGGTTATGTCAATTCATTTGCCATCACAAATGTCAGAGTTAGAGGCATCAAGGCGCTACAGTATCTCAAATACCAAGATTTAAGGTTGAAAGAGTATTTGATGAAACACAAGGGTATGAAAGTTATTTTACAGGTTTCCGCCACTATGAAGAGCAAGAAAACTAACGAAGAGA